AGCTCCATTCACTACCAGCCCTAGGTGCGGACAGCTGTTCAGTTCATTTAACAGATGGGAAAAACGAGGTACCAAGCGCGCTGGCCACGTAGACTAGCTAGACGCCTCGCAACCCCCCAGAGGCAGAGACTCCCCACGCGCTTAATCCCTGGCCCGCTCACTCCTAGCTCTCTCCTCAGGCGGTGAAGGGCACCATGAAACGCACGTGTAAGTGCCACGGCGTGTCTGGCAGCTGCACCACACAGACCTGCTGGCTGCAGCTGCCTGAGTTCCGCGAGGTGGGCGCGCACCTGAAGGAGAAGTACCACGCAGCTCTCAAGGTGGACCTGCTGCAGGGTGCCGGCAACAGCGCTGCCGGCCGCGGCGCCATCGCCGACACCTTCCGCTCCATCTCCACGAGGGAGCTGGTGCACTTGGAGGACTCCCCGGACTACTGCCTGGAGAACAAAACTCTAGGACTGTTGGGCACCGAAGGCCGAGAGTGCCTGCGGCGCGGGCGGGCCCTGGGCCGCTGGGAGCGCCGCAGTTGCCGCCGCCTCTGCGGTGACTGCGGGCTGGCGGTGGAGGAGCGTCGCGCCGAGACCGTGTCCAGCTGTAACTGCAAGTTCCACTGGTGCTGCGCTGTCCGCTGCGAGCAGTGCCGCCGGCGGGTCACCAAGTACTTCTGTAGCCGCGCGGAGCGGCCGCAGGGGGGCGCGGCGCACAAACTCGGGAGAAAACCTTAAGGGTCTCCTCCCCTCCTTTCCCCATTTGTCCTTGGCTTCCTTTAGAGACCCCAGTAATAGAGGAACCTACGGAATGGGGACCCCGCAGTACCAAGCCCAGGGATCCCAAGAGGGAGAGACGCTGCAGTCTCTCCGGAGCTTGTCACTTGCCAACCTCTTTCCCTCATTCCTCTGCGCTCTCCTCCAGCTGGGTCTGAATCGTCCTCAGCCCACACTTAGGTCTGAGAACTCTCTGTTCTTAGATTTTGAGCTATTGATCTTCCTTGGGTTAGGTGGGGAACAGGCGTTCCTCCTCCCCTTCCTAGCTGCCCTAACGCCTGACCTAGCCTATGCAGCCTTAAGAACTGGAAGAACCCTTCTCAAATATGCAGAGCCCGGGGAAAGCCATGGCTTCTCTCTTTTGCCCATTTTCTTGCCCCCGCCCCGACCCCCTTGTCTGCTGCCAGGTCTCCACCATAGCTGCATCCTCCTTCTGCAGAGCCCCTCCTGCGCTTCTGATTCCCTGCTAACTGTTGGCATGGACTCCCCAGGAATCTCTAATGCTTTCTCTCTCCTTCTCCTTTCCCTCTTTCCCTGAAGAGAAACTGTGAGAAAACTGACCCAGGAAAAAGCATGTCTTTGGGGGTTGGTTCTAGACGCAAGGGGATGGAGGAAGCAGGAACCCTAGAGTGCTGACTTGCTGAAAATCCAGGGTGCTACTCATCCTCGTGATACCACGTCTCTAATGGACTTTACCAGTGGGGCCGTGACCTTCCTAAACAATCACCCAAGGTGTTCCAAACACACATCCACAACGTCAGGAATTATGGAAGGGCAGATTACCAGTCATTTCCTATCCTTTAAAGTAACCTTCCCCTGCTCCTAACCTATTTTGTCCTAGCAACTAACTTTACCTCTTCTCCTTCCCCAAAGGATCCTTGTTCCTCTGAGTCAAGACTGAGCTAAATAAAGCCAATTTCCCATTCAGAACCTGGTTTGCACCTTTAAAGGCAGGTCATAAGGAAGGAGAAGCTGGAAGCCTTCCTTTTCACTAACCTGGTTCTCAAGACAGGCAGGATTCAGGGCATTGGATACTTGCCTTCAATAAGTAAACTTCCTACAATGAAACTGTTGCTAATAGGAAGTTCAGCACCTTGAACTTTAATTTATTGCAGTCACTGTGATATGTGCCTTTCTTCCCCCCAGGTATTGAATTTAGTCTTGGGGACATAGGAGAGGGCGGATGGATGAAATAACCTCTAGGCCCCCTCTTCCCTCCCATCTTGCCGGGATACCATGCTCCCTAAAGCCTCACTTCTCAGATGGCCTAAGCAGTTATCCTGACCTGACTGAGGCTAATCTGCCAAGGATTAGTAAACCATCCACATAAATCTTCCACCCACATGTTCACTCAGCAGCTAAGAGCCTGTGCTTGTGGTGCTTGATTCTTCTGGTCCTCTTCCCAGAGAGAAGCAGTGGGGCAGGGACTTGTTGAAATAGGGCTCTGGGAAGGGAAGACCCAATCCCTAACAGACCCTCTGCAGCCCAAGGAGTTTCCCAGGTAGCTTCCTTCCCCTAGGCCAGTCCTGGGTCTAGGCAGCTCTTCTGGAGCAGAACTGGTCAAATGCTAGACAACCTCATCTCACCTCTCCCAGAGCAGGAGAGAAAACAGAGGAGGTGTGGCTCCAAGTAGGTAACAGGGGCTGAGGCTCTAGGGGCCACTGTGAGAGCAGAAGGGCTCCCATATTCCAAATTGACACAGTGGCCAGGTCAGACCCCAAAACACTGGCCTCATCCCTACACATCTTCTGATCCTACTAATGCTTACTGACAGGATCCCCTTCCTTCCTTACAGGGAACACACTTCCCCTCAGGGTCTCCTGGTGCTTCATCTCCAGCTCTGTCAGCAAAAGGCCTTTTGCTCCCTCCCTCAGCTTTGATCTGGGCCTCTTGAATCTCCCAACTTGCCCTTCTTCCCTAATCAAGCAGCATCATATATTAACCTGGCTGTCCCACTTGCCAGAATTACTTGATAGTGTACAATAAGAAAATCTGGCAAGGCAGCTAGAAAATGTAAAAGTACAATGCTGTAACAGAAAGCTGCATTCTCCAGGAGGTCTCTCAGCATAAAAGTAGGAGAACTATTGTGCTTTGTATTTGATAACTCCAGATCAGTACTTGAAACATGTCATGATGCCAGAAAGTTCTTTCATAGGTTATTGTTTTGTATTCCCAAATGGATATGATTGATACCACACTCGAGTTCTATAAAGAAAACATTACTCAGCTATCTTAGATCTGTATTGCTTTTTCTTCCCCTCTTGCATTATCCATTCATTCAACAAACACTGGAGTGGAAATAAACTGGTGAAGGACACACCGACCTCCCTGCATTCATGGAGTTTAGGTTCTTTCTTATACTCAACCTCCAGTGCTGTGTTCCCCTTTACAAGTGTGGAAAACTCCAGAGTGGCTGCTTGGGAAGACATCTTCCAGGTCAGCTAGTCAAACCTTTTGTTTTACAGATTTAAACTGATGCTGAGAAAGACGTCTGGCTTGTTCCATCAACAAGTAAGTTACTGTGGGGTGAGTACTGGAACCCAGGCCCCTTCCCTCCTCTTATGTGCTCTTTAGGAGCCCATCTGTCTCAACCAGAGGACAGAAGCAGAGGGAGGGCCTGAGAAGTGACAAGGACACTGGCTGGGGGGGCAAAACACTGTCTCCTTCCTGTTCCTGGCCTGTGAGCCTACACACAGGCAGGGCTTTCTTTTCTTGAAAAGAATCCCAGCCTCAACTGGCCTTAGCAGCAGGTTAGGGCAAAGACAGAGATAGGGTCGTGTTCAGCGCTGGTGGTGCTGGTGGTGGTGGGAGGGGAGGGCAGGCCAGGGCACTTGCCTATTGTGGGTCTGGATTGGATGCTTCCACTCATTCATTTCCTTTTAATTAACCTGCATTCCTGGAGGAGAAATATTTATGTTGGCTCCCATAGAGGCAATCCACAGACTGGAAAGAAGGGGGAAGAAAGCCTGCCTTAGCAAAACAATATCTCTAAAGAGCTCAAGAAGAGAAAATAAGAGAACAAAATGCCATTAAAACAGCCTTCTACCCCCACTGGAGTCAATGAAAACTTCATTTCACATGCTAATCCCTCACTCCGCCCCCTTCTCTTCTCACAACACCTTTTCCGAAAGTGTTTGGGAAAAGTCTTCACAGTCAGTACACAGCTCCCTGCAGCTCAGACTTCTCCTTGTGTTAGTTCAGGGCCCCAAGTGGGGCTCTCGCTCCAGCAGAGGCTTTTTTCTCCCCCCCTTTAATTTAAACAAAGACTTCTGAGTTCATCAACCTCCCACTGAAATTCACAGCTGCTGAACAAACTAATCCCCTCTCCCGGCCTTTCTTCCCTTCAATGGGCTCTTGGCTTCAAAGACACTTTGGGAAAGGACTTTCCTGGGGCTCACACTGCTTCATCAATAGAAGTTAGTGCAAGTATTATCTGAAGAGCAAGTGGCTTTACAAACAAATACTGCCTAACAATCCCTTCCTCCCAAACACACACATCTAGCCCACAGACATGATGGGATCTACAACAGGATTAGAGATAGCAGCCCCTGGCTTCACACCCAGCCTCTTTGTGCAGCTCAGCTCTGCCCTGAAGTGGTGTGGGGAAAACCCTGGAGCTGAACGTCAGGCATGGATGGAGACAGACAGAAACACACACACACACACACACACACACACACACACACACACACACACACACACCAGAATGGCCACAAATGTTGCAAAGTGAAAGCCCTGCAGCCTAATTCAGTGACACCCTCCTTTCTTCAACTTTCTTGACTCCCCATCTGTCCCCAAGCCTCTCTTCTGCCTTATTAGGGTGCAGGGAGCAAGAACAAAGTGGACTAGGAAGAGAGGTAAGGGCAAAATAGGACCCAGAAGAGACAATAACTGGGAGATGACCAAGGAAACCAAATCAAAGCAGCTTTATTGCACATTAAGTCCATCCATGCTTCAAATGCAGTGTCCGACCATGAAGATGCAGCCAGAGAAGGCAGCCCTGAGACATGCTGGGGCTGAGGGGGGAGAAGGGCCTCCAACCATTGAGGAACAGTGCTAGGAGAGAGTCTTTCCTTAATATGGCTCCTATTCCAGAACTGGGCTTATAATCACAGAATGAATGGTCTGGGGCCTTGGGCCAGGGCTCAAATGGTTTGAATCAGGGGCTGTTCCCCATAGGCAGTGGTCCCTCTGCTCCTATCTCATAGCCTAAGACAGCTCCCAGCAAAAGGCAGTGCACCCCTGCCACCTTCCACCTAACCTAGTCCACCCTTAATAATGCTGGCAGATAAGAAGTTCCCTTTAAAAAGGGCCAAAGTTCCTTCTCTTGGTTCTGCTCAGCACTCATCCCTCAGGTCCATGACTTGTTCAAAGGGTGAACGTTCAACAGTCAAATCTACCCCGGCCTGTGTAGCTCAGAGAAATATGGACCTGGAAATATGAAGTCAGAGGCAAGGAGAAGGTAAGGTCAGGCTCTTAACCCACAGAAGGGGAAAAACAAAAGACCTAGAATATGGGTACAGTAGAGGTAGACTTGGAAGTAATGATCCTGCCACCCTCTCAGAAGCCACTTAAACAGAATAACCCTGGAGGAGAAGACACCATGCCCCAGGTCCTGTCAGAGTGCAGTATCAGGGAAAGAACTGGCCCTATGCTCTGCCTCAGAGGCTGAGAGAACCTTGGGCAGATCCTAGAAGGCCAGGCATACAGGGGTACAAAGCAGGCACTCCGGTGATTTGGAGCCAAGCCTACAGCATCACATACCTGGCAGCAAGAGAAGAGGGCTGGGAAAAACAAACAGAATCTGTTCCAAAATTCCCCTTTTCTGCAGGGAGGAGTTAATTAACAGCAGAAGTGGCCTCCTGGCAAGGGAGGCTGCCTGGTTTAGAGGTGCAGCTTATGAGCAATGGTGAGGACAGCCTTCAGGACAGGCATGAAGCTGGAGACCTCACTGAAGCTGCTGCAGCCCACCACCTGGGCATGCACTGTGAGGCCCTGCTCAAAACTTCCTGCGTCCACACATCGGGCAACCTCGTGGAGCCCAGCCAGGACATGAGGCGAGAGCTGTAAGGTGATTGAACCTTAGGTTAGTAAGCCCAACCCAGCCCCTACCCTGGCAGCATGGAAAGGATAAGAGAGGACCTAAGTTCTGGAGCCCAGTCCAGACAAGATGTATGTATCTGGTGGGGAACCCAGGTCGGTGAGACCTAGGGGAGGGGACACTGAGCTCCCACTGGCCACGGGTGATGGTGGGAGGGCAGAAGGCAGAGGATCACTGTTAAGTGTACTTACTGTCCCCTCGCGGAGCTTTTCATATAGACATTCTAGACATTGGGATGCCTCATCCAGCTTCCGTTTTGTCTTCTGCAGGGAGGGAAATGGATTCTGACTCCAGCCCCTAAGCCTAACACCACATAGGACTATAAAGAATCACAGTATATTAGAGCTAAAATGGCTTAATGCTACTTCTTTCATTTCACAGAGGAGGACTGGAGGCCCAAAGAGGGTAAGTGACTTGCTCAAGCACACACAGCCAGTGAATGAATGACAGGTTTCCTTATTCCTGGTTTCACCCTCCTTCCAGTCCTCCCTGCTGCCTTTCCAAGAGTTAAGTCTTGGTGCTGTTGGGTCCAGCTACCAAGGAGCTGGACTTCAGACTAGACAAGCCCCCCCCATCAACTCCGCATGGACATCAAATAAGTATAAGATACAGACAGCATGTCGAGGGACAGTGAGAAAAAAGTCACACAAGGAACTACAACTAAGGGGTCTGGAACCAGCTAAGGGTAAGGGGGGCACTGTGCGGAAGGTTCAGACTCACTAAGTCAGTGGCTGACAGGCAACAACGTTGTAGAAGCACCTCAAAGTTGGTCTTCAAAGACTGATGCTCTGGGGGCAGCTCCTTCCTTTCCATCTTCTTGGGTGGTTGTTGCCGAAGTTGCTGCAGAAGAAGCAGAGAGATAGGAGAGAGAGGCAAGCTGGCTTCCCTAAGGACTAGTCCTCAGTGACTCAGCGTCACGCTGCTCCCGCTAGAGCAGAGCAGAGTCGGGGAGACGGGCCCTCTCCCTTCTCTGCAGCAGGGCCACTTGGTATCTGCCCGCCACCCGTCTCCTTTAGCTCAGAGTCGGCCTCTACCCTGAGGAATGAGGTCAATCACCATGCTCTCTGCTTTTCCACACCCAGGGAGGGCCAGAAGGTTTCCAAGGGAGGGGAACACACTGTTCTTGTCACCCGCAGGCTGAATTCTCCTGGGGCTCCAGGGGGACCATGGCCCACACCGGGAACAGGGGGCTGGGAGGAAAGGACCCCTCGCGGCTCAGGGGTGAGGCACATAACTGGAGCTGTAATTGGTGCTGGGGGCATAAATGTCTCTGGCAACTAAATAGAGAGAAAGAAAGGCACATGAGTCTAAGCTGAGAGGCTCCTTAGGCCCTGGTTTGAGAGAGCGGCTGAAATTACAAGTGAACAAGGGGACAGAATAGTGAGTGGGGAACCGGGAAGTGGGAAGACTGGTGTGTGTATGTAAGAAGGAAAGAGGAGGGGGCCTAGGGGAGAAGAATGAGTGGGGAAAGAGAGAGGGCAGAGCATAGCCTGAGAATGGGAAGGATTGGCTTGCATTCTGTAAGGAACTAGAATGTGAACCATTGGTGAATGTACGACGGGGTGGGTGGGGAGAAATGCATTGACCTTTTTCCTCTGGCGGTTTCCCCTGGGAGCTAGAGCATTTTTCAAGGAATCTTGAGGTCCTATACAGTACAAAGATAGAGGTATTAGGGCCATGGTCCAGGAACATGGGAAATTTTTGGTCTGAAGGCCAGCAAAATTATTTTAGTTGGAGTCCACCACACCTCCCTCTATAGACCAGCCATACTCTCAGCTGACATTCTCCAATCCAAGGGGCCCCAGTTCATTGGCTTGAGGAAGAGACTCCAAAGGTGGTAGTGGGGAGGGGAGGAGAGAGAGGCAATGATCTAGATGAGGGAAGCCATGGAAGGAAGACTGACCTGGATGAGGAGTCAAGATGCCAGTGGTTGGGATGGCACTAGAGCATGCAGCACCTGGTCCTCCTGGCGGGTGTGCCACAGGGAAGCTGACAGGAGGGGCTGGGGGCTGCAAGCTCATAGGGCTGAGACATGGTGGTCTCACTGGAAGCAGATGGAGCAGTTGAGGAGTCTCAGGCAGGGAGGCAGAGGCAGCCTGCATGGTGTCTGGGGGTGCCATAGGTGGAAGGGGACTGGAAAGAGGCCATGTTCCAGGGAATCCCATGGGGTTAAGAGCTTGTGCCCTTGGCCCTCTTAACAGCTGCGGCTGAGAGAAAGCTGAAGTGGAGCAGAAACAGGTCATTTGCCGCCAAACTTCAATTAGGGAGACACTCAGAGCACATCAGGGAGGAATAGGACAGTAATAATAAAAAAAAAAACTCCAATAGTAATAAATGATTAATACATGTGCATGGAGATCTATCATTTACAAAGTACTTTCAACTATATTCCTTAGTAGACCCTCAAAACAATCCTGTTGAAATGCCCAACATAACACCTACTCTCATTTTTCAAAAGAAACAGAGTGGCTAAGTATATTGCACACAAGTACAAAGCCAGTAAGTGATAGTACTGGGAATTCAGACTTCAAATTCTGAGCTCCTCTCACTAGACAGACATACTGCCTCCCAAACCCATGCTGGCCATCCCAATTGTTTTCCTCTGTGCTCTGCCCAGACAGATCTTCACTCAGTCACTCACCAGGCCTTACCCCAGGGCCCAGGGGCAAAGGCTGGGCTGCCTGGGATCCAGGTACCCTGTAGTCACTTGTATTCTGCATTCTGGAGTCCTGATAAGGGCTATGATGAGAAGGTGTCAAGGACATCATCAGTGATGACCAAGGTGTGAAAATTCTTGGCCTTGGAGATGGAGTTGGAACCTGTGAAGAGAAAAAAAGGGTCAGTACTTGGAAAGGAAAAAAAAGGTAAGTAATTGAAAATAGAAAAACAATAGAGAAAATGAAACAAAAAGCTAGTTCTTCAAAAAAAAATCAACAAAATTGATAAATCTCTATAAAGATTGACAAAGATAAAGAGGGAAGACACAAGACATCAAGATCAAGGATGAAATAGGGAATATTACAACCGACTCTGCAGCCATTAAAAGGATAATAAAGAAATACTACAAATAACTTTACATTCATAAATTCGACAACTTAGAAGAAATAGACCAACTCCTCAAGAACCACACACTACCAAGACTCAGCCCAAGGAATCCATAAAGAACTCCTAGAACTAATAAATGAGTTTAGGAGTTTCTGAACACTGAAAAGTTACAGGATACGAGATGAACACACAAAAATCAACTGCATTTCTATAGACCGACAATGAACAAGTAGAAACCAAAATTAAAAATGCAATACCATTTGATTTCACATTACTCGAGAAAATTAAATACTTAGGTTTGAATTGAACAAAACATGTCAGGATCTGTATGATGAAAATTATAAAATGAAAATGAAAATCCATAGAAGGAAAACTTTATAAATTGGATCTTATAAAATTAAAATATTTTGATCTGTGAAGGACCCTGTTAAAAAGATGAAAAGGCAAATTCTTATATGGTTATACACACACATACACAGGAATACATGTAAAACTGGTGAAATCCGAATCTGAAATCTGAATCTACAGTTTATACTAATGTCAATTTCTTGATTTTTACACTGTACTGTGGTTGTGTGGGACACTGGCATGGGGGTGGGATGGGGTTGGGATGCATGAGACTTTCCAGCACAGCTCTTTGCACCTTCCTGTGAATCTATAATTATTTCAAAACAGAAAAGAGACAGGGAGCGGGGGAGAGAGAGAAACAAAGTAGGGAAGGAGAAGGGAGAGGAGGGAGGGGGAAGGTGGGGGAAGGTGAGAGAGAGAAGAAAACTAGGGTGGGAATTAAAGGTGGGACAGGCTGAATCATCAGAGCTTCTTCCTGATACCTCTATCTACAATCTCCCTGGATTTTGTTCCCTAGCCCCTCTAGTAAGCTCCTGGTGTTATGAGTTAGCATAAGTTAACAGCACCCTGTCCATCTGGGCACTATGGCCAGGAACCTGGGAGTCAGTCCCCCCACTTCACACACTCATCTAAATCATCACCAAATTCTGTTATTCTTCCTACTAAATATCTCAAATCCAACCTTACTCTCCAGCTTTAGGTCATTCACGTCCTTACCATCTCTTGCAACAGCCTCCTAACTGCATCCAGCCTTGCCCTTCCCAGACTCATAGCTAGTCCTTCTGCTGCATAAGACCATTCAATAGCTCCTGACTGCGCTCAGGGTCAAGTCTAAGCTCTTGAGCACAGAATGCCAGGTCTTTCCTGATCTAACTCCTACCTGTTACCCCAGCTTCATCTAACCTCACTCTACTGCCACAAACACCTGCTTTGCAGCCCCATTAAAACATTAGTTCCTCAAATGAGCTTTGTTTACCTGCCCTTCATTGCCTTTGTACATGCCATTCCCTCTGCCTGAAACAGCCTTTACGTACCCCTTCCTTTGCCTAAATAACTTTTAATCTTCAAGACTCAGATCAAACATCATACTCATTCTGAAACGTTCCCTAAACTTTCCCTGCCCCCCAGAGTAAACTGCTTTCTTCTGTGTGATCTCATGGCACCTTATCATACCCTAATCATGGCATTTATGAATTTTACTGTAGTTATTTTTCACATATCTATCTTTCCACTAGGCTATGAGCTAATTAAGGGCAAAGATCATCGTTTGTGCACCTTTCTGTTCTAAGAGCCTAGCAGTTGTTCAATAAACAGTTATTAGAAAAATAACTGAATCTACGCCTTATGAAAGCAGGAATTTTCATCATTTTTGTTCACTGATATATTCCAAGTGCCTAGAACCACACCTCGTAGACACTTGATAAGTATTTTTGAATAAATGAACAAATGAATGAACAAACAACGTCTTACCTGGTGATAAGGCTGGAATCCTGATCTGTAAGATGATGTATCTTTCGAGTGAGGGGTAGCTCCCACAACAACCCGGGGGAAGGGGAAAGGAGGAGACGATTGGCCCAGGACACCAGAACCCTGAGCGTGAAAAAGCCGATCTCTCAGCTGCTGAATTGGTAGCTATAGAAGTTATAATAATGAACACCTGTTTAAGTAAAATAAAAACAAGCAAACATACTCTCTTCCAAGCCTGGCCCCATATAGCATTCATACTTCAGCTGAGCCTCTACACTCTAGCCACGTGAGATGACTCAAAGGTCTCTAATCCCTGCTAAGCCTCCCTTCTTGCTGTTCTTTCTGCCTAAAATGCTCTACATCTGCTGGTAAGCTATTTCTCTTTGAAGGTCCAGCTCAACTGTGTTAACCACTGCAAAGCCTTCCTTGACTTCTCCAGGCAAAACCAGCCCCTTCCCTGGAGTCCCCCAGTGCTTATTAAAAGCTTCTGTTATGGCACTATAAGTTATTGACATCTGATTTTCCCCCAAGATATTGTGAGCTTCCTGCAGGACTAGATCTTATTTATCCTGGGAGCTTCAGCATTTAGCATAGTGCCTGGAACATCTAACACTCAGCCAGTGTTAGATGACTGAATTAAATGGTTTGCTTTCTCCACATGGCCCCACTCACCTGAGCACTGTCAGTAGGTAGGTAGCTCATGGCAGTGGCCAGGCTGCCCTGGGCTGCCAGGAAGGTGGCATATTGAGTGACCCTGTAGGTTGTGGCAGGACCTGGGCTCATGCCATTAGGACCCCGTAGTAGCTCCAAGCTCCTGTTAAGGACCATCACCTTCTCCATCAAGTCCTATAGGAACAAAGATGAGGGCAGTCAGCCCTCTTCAAAGCACGTCTTGCTCTCTAATCCCTGGCAGCTCACCCAGGGACTTCCCACTGTGGGTATGAGGGCACCTGGCCATAGCCAGGTGAAGGCAGCAGGTGATGATATACAAAAGACACGACAGTTAGACAAGGGCCACTTGGCTACACCTCCAAGCTGTTAGCATTGGGCTTGACTGGGCCCATCTGGGTTTTAGACTCTCTGCCTCTTTTTTTGCTTTCTTTACCCTTTCTGCTAGTACATCATCAATTTCAGACTCTCTTATATTATTGTTTCATGTGTGACTTTGTCTCCCCATGAGGCTGTGACCCCCTCCTTCCCTGGTCACCTGCAGAGTGAGTGTCTGGTACAATTTAGATCCACAGAACTTTTCATAGCAGCTAATAGAAGGCCCAGGTTCACAATTACTCAAATATAGAATAAACTTGTATATCCAAATCTGAAGTGGGAAAAAATTATGAAGGTTAATACCTAAGCAGCTGCTGCTCAGTCTCCCCCAGCTGAGAAGGAGGGAAGGAAGTATTGATAGCTTATCCTTGGGAGAAGGCCCCAGACATTGAGGGCCCTTATCTCTTCCCTAATACCCTGATTCCAGCCTGGGTACCCAGAAGACTCACCTCTGATGTCCCTGCACATCCCCACCACTAGCCTCTCCTAAGGGCCTGGTATGGAGAGAACAGAGCACTGCAGAGAAGGGGTACCTGTAGAGCCATGGGCGATGAAGCCTGCTGGCATTTTGCCCAGCACTCCACCAGCCGCTCCACACTCCCTGAGCACACATAACAGAGTCTGGCTTCAGAGGTTAGTGCCCTGCCGCCCTCCTGCTCCATGCGAGTACCCAGCATGCCTGCAGAGAGATGGAAACTTCTTTCATGGCACAGCTTCCCTGTGCTCCTCCTCCTTCTCCAGTTTGGAAATAGGTGGAAGGCCACGAGCTATGGGACAAGTGACCACAGTAGCTTTGGACAATTGAGGCTAACTCTGCTCTACAGTGAATGGCAAAGCTCTTGCATCAAGATGTGACAAGAAAAACAGGACAACAAATGATCCCTACAGAAAGTAGGGGCATGCACTGTAGTCCTTGCCTCCCAGCTGAACCAGACCTTGGCCCTGACAACATGGCCTGACTTCCCAGAGCTCGGGATGCTCCTCTGCCTCTTCCCTCAGTGTGTCCATTAACTCCATGCTGGAGTCACACCACTCCATCCTGAAGCCTAGGGCCACTTACCACAAAGCTCAGGGAATTTTTCTGGCTCTGAGTATGTCAGTAGCAAGGCCAGTGCCTCTCTCCAGTTCTGCAGGCTACAGGAACACACCATATCCTTCCAATTCTTCCGCACAACACAGGCTATAAGCTGTAATGGGCAGAGAGGGAAGGAGGCCATCAGCCACCCAGGCAGCAGGAGTCACGCACAGGGATATGCTAAAAAAAAAGCCACTCATGAGCAGGCTTCCTGTAGACCACTGACTAGGGGCTAGGGGTGAGGTCGGGGTGGTTAGAGTGGAAAGAGGGACAGGCAGATGCTCTAAACACTAGTCCCAAGGTGTGGGCATCCACCTGACAAGGTCCAAGTAATGCCCTCCCCTCCTCTCATGCATGGTGGGCAGTTACCGAGGAGATTCTGGTTTTCTTCTTGGCCAAGTAGTGCTCCTGTGTTTGCTTTAGCAGATCTGTGCCCCTAGCCTGGGCCAGGATGATGCCATCAGCAAAGTGCTCTTCCTTCAGACACAGTTCCACAGCAGGGCCCAGTTCTCCAAGCAGGAGAGCCTGGCTCAGCAGTCCGTCAGTGTCTACAGGCAGAGGCACCCCCTCCACATTAGTGTGCCCTCAGACTCTAGCTTCCTGTCCCCTGCAGGGCCCACAGCACACCTCCTATATCTCTGTATCACTCAGCCTCCCCTGCCCCAAACAAAATTCCCAAGTTTCACTCCTCAACAACAAAATGTAGTGGGGTGTCCTGGGGTGCCCAGGTCTGGTGGTAACTCTCTAAAGATAGGACCTAAGATGAGGGAAGGACTCGTGTGGTAGTAACACAGCTGTGATGTGTGCTTGCTCAGCAAGAACAGGGTCACAGTCCTTCAAGCAAGAAGACAGAAGGACAGAAAAAAAAATATCTTGGTAGAAGGCCATCCAAGAAAATCTACAGCCAGAGAGAGCTCTAACTGGTAACAGAATCACCTAGCATTTGTGATGGTGGGAGGGAGGCAGGAGACAGGGGACAAAAAGGAAATGTCCTCAAGTCTGAGAACTCTGAGCCCATCTACTCCCATGCAGAGGGTTTCTCTCCCTCAGGGTCAGGGTACCTTCTGTGATGGGGATCTCCCATGGAGTCATGTTCTGAGGGACCAGCTCATCAAAGAAGGTTGAGGAGGCAGAGGCTTCCTCTGTGGTGTGTTTGGAGGCCTGTACAAGAAAGGACAGAGGTGGCTACTTAGGAAATGAACCCTAGAGACAGAGAGCTGGCTTAGTAGCTTTCTCTGGGAGCTCTACTGTTTGGTCCTTAATGGGTAAAGTTAAAAGAGTAACCTGGTAAGGTTTGGGAAGGGCTCTAGTTCATGATTAAAACACAGCTCCGGGCCAGCCCTGTGGCTTAGCGGTTAAGTGCGCGCGCTCCGCTGCTGGCAGCCCGGGTTCAGATCCCGGGCGTGCACCGATGCACCGCTTCTCTGGCCATGCTGAGGCTGCGTCCCACATACAGCAACTAGAAGGATGTGCAGCTATGACATACAACTATCTACTGGGGCTTTGGGGGGAAAAAAAATATATCAACTTCATTGAAGTATAATTTCCATATAATAAAATGCATCCATTTAAAAAAAAAAAAAAAAAAAACACAGCTCCACTCCAGCCCAAAAGCTTATGGACTCTGTGTCTCACTGTGCTTCCAAGAGATTGAGGAGTTTGAAGAATTCTACAGAAGCTGAGCAAAGGGTAAAGCAAATGAGAGCAAAGCAAAGGGCCAGGAAGGTGAAGATACCTTAAACGTAGATCTCCCGTGCTACCCTAGGCCTGGCTAGCTGGGTTTCTACCACACCTGGCTGCAGAAGGCCTGCTGTCTGTTACTGCTGAGGTCATCTCCCTTGAGCTGAGGGCTCTCACTCAGCCCCACGTCACTCTTCAACCACGTGGCCACCTGCAGAGACCTATGAGTACTACTCTTCCTAGCACAAGGTCAAACAAGCATTATGCTTTCTTCCCACTTCCATACCCCACCAACTGGACTTTCTAAGATCCTTGAGTTTTCCTGGGAAAAAGCCTACCACCAGGAGGTAAAATGTTTGTATATGCATTAATGAAGACCAGGAAGAGGTATTCTGAGATGGTTTCCACTGGCAGGATTCTCTTAATCTCTGCATCAAGTACATGTTTCTGATGTGAAAGCAGCTTACCTTCTTTTGAAGTTCATCTTTACTGTATCCCAAGAGCTTTAGGAATTCCACTCTGGAGTCTTGCTCTAAGGTCACCTAAGGAACCACAGAACACAGAAGTCTCTATTAAATGAATGTGAATGACCCTTTCCTGTACCAGCTGGTCATCTGTGCCAGTGTACCCTCAAATATAGTTCTTTGTACTAACAGAAGTGCCCTATTGAGACCAACATGATCTCTCCCCTTTTCTCCCCAGCTTTGATTCCTGCTGGGCTATGGGCATAGTGCTAACAAAACCCTTTCCCTCTTCTGCATGAGAATTGGACCTTCAGTTGACTTCCTAGATCTATTACCCTGGTAAGGTGATAAGAGTAAAATGTCAGCTATGTTTCTAGGCAACATTGCTTGTGACTGGTAAATTGCATCTGGACTGGAACTATATAAACTATAAATAAAACTATATAAAATACAAACTATTATTTATAGTGTCAGTGTGGACACCATCCTCTAGGCTTGCTTGATTGCAAAGACTCTTCTAACTGAAAAGATCCCTTATAGGGATTCTAGAGACTATGCTTTTGGAGTTGGTACAAGAGATGTTGTCTGTCATGGGCATAAACCTTCTAAGCCAGGGCAACTTACACACTTGCCTGATGTACATCTCATCTCCTTGCACCTGAGCTGTCTTCTGGAAAACTGAAGGAGAGAACTCTGAACTGCTGCATGGACTGCTGCAAGGACTCCCACAGAAGAAAACCACCCAATGCTGCCCTGCTGACAAGCTATGGTTCCCATCCCATATCCTTCTGAGGAAACTGATGCCACATGAGCCTGCCGTAGTCTTGTGAGTCTAAACGTCTAGTTGAGAAGACTCCTGGTGGAAGTTGGAAGGATATAGTAAAGTCAGCCTACCCATTCAGGGTTCCAGATTCTGAGGGTCGAGCCATCCTGAAACCTCACCCTAATCTGGGTTAGCTGGCCTGGGCCCTTCATTTATCTTCCACTTAACCGTGAATTCTGACTACCATCTTTCTCATAGTCTCTCAGGGCCCCTCCTTCTTCCATGCTTTTCCTTGGAAATGTTCACCCACATTCAGCTTCAGGACCATCATGATGGACAGCTCTTGGTTAGCTTTTCAACCAGACTCCCCTCTGTCCTATGGGCACGGCTGCCTCCTTTGTTCAGCAGAGTAAAGGCTGAACTCCTGATCATACCCTCTATTCTCTTTCTCACTCCACCATTCCTGGAGCTATTACCTGTATCCTGCTTATAACAAAAGCATCATTTCTTACTCTTCCCACATCTTTTTCCAGCTTCACTCTGTAGTTGCTGATCTTTCTCAAATCCTTTCCTTTTCCAGATTCCTGGTGTCTACCTCCATAAAGTTCTACTATGTCTGAAGCACAGGTCCCCAAGTCCTTCTCAGACTCCCTGGGATGGCTTTGTCTTCCTTTTTTCATTCTTCTCTACAATCCCAAAGATCTGAAAATCCACTCACTGCCTGTCTAGTCAGTTATTTCTCTTTCTTCCTTCACCCCTCTCTTCTCATTTGAGCAATTCCTTTGACAGGTATAGCACTCCTCCTGGTGTCATAACCAACTTGAAATTAAATTAGTGCCGGAACTGAAGCAATGCCTCCAGAGTAGAGTGGGACCTGAGCACTGAGTCCCACCACAATGACTTACCTTGTGTGACTTGAAACAAACTCAAAGCCTTTTCATGACAATGTACCCTTCCAGCCAATCTTCTTCCCTTCTTCTCCCTTTCTATCGCCTTATCTGCCCTTTGGCATGGCACCGTGAAAGCTTCCACCTTGGCTCTGGTAAAGTATCCAGGACATCACCAAGAGTAGCAACAAAGGCAAATGTCATTTGTACTCCTCAGCTTCCCTAGCCGCAAATGTCTCTGAGCCTCTGGTAAAGGGTAAAGATTTATTCTGTGTCCACAAGGTGGGTGTCATGTAGGAAAAAACCTAATAGGGGTTAGGGCCTCTGTAATCTGGGTCACAGTGTAGCTGCACATCTCCTGGAGTTCACAGAGGTTGGAATACACGGCTTTGGGGAAACACTTCTGAGCAGCCAGCTTTCAGGCTTCCTACCCTCAGGAACTGCCAGAGCATCTTTTCACTTTGCAGTGATGTTTGCTGGATCTTGTTCTGACAATAATTCAGGAGATTTCCTGATCCCAGGGCCTCCTGCAGCTCAGCTGACCGCATCAGGAATTCAGATTCTGTGGTGACTTGACTGATAAAGACTAGGCTGATAAGGCAAGGCTGTGGCACCTGATGGGCAGGTGTGCTGGGGAGGCCAAAGGTAACCAGCTTCCCCCCAAACTGGTGAGGAAAAACAAGATGGGTAAAGGTCATACCTTCAAGTTAAAAATTAACACCAAGTCAGGATCACAGGAAAGGCTATCTATTGGTTGACCCTAGGATAGGAAATCAATAATAAGAGAACTCCTGGGGGTGGAATAGCATCAAGAACTGAGTATGGAATATGCCCCTATACCAAAACCACCTCTGCACTTTTAGCACCATCAGCTTAAAACTTCAGCACATGGTACTCATCTTCTCCTCACCTGTCCTGGTACCACCATTCTCCCAGTCACCTGGACTAAACACCTTGGCATTATCACAGTCTCTACAGCCAAGCAACAACAAAGTTTTATTTTATTCAATGTCTCTCATGCAGGTCCCCTCGTCCCGTTCCCAGTGCTAGTACACCTAGATTACTAGAATAGCTTGCTAGCCTCTGGGTTTTTCCTCCTCCAATCCAAGCCTTAGACTACCACCCTATACCTGCTGCTACTCAGGAGCTTGTAATGGTTTCACAAGGCCAGAGGAGAAAGCATAAGCCCCTCTGCCTGTAGTGCACAAAATCCTCCAAAATCAGAGCCAGAACTGCCTCTCCAGCATTTCTCTCCCTGCTCATTTATGTGATCGTTCCACATCCCCAAAACGCCCAGTTCATTCCTGTCTGTGCCTTCACACACCACAACACCCTCACCTGAGCACCCTTCTCACCAAATTAGGTACTTTATATAAAGCATCTGGCACAAAAGCAGACTTGAGTCAAGTTCCTTGACTCCAGCAGTTCTCCACCTTAGCTGCACACTAAAAACACCTGGGGAGCTATCCAGAGCCACCAGGCTGTACCCAAGACAATAAAACCAAAATCTCTGGGGGTGGGACCTGGCATCAGTATTTTTTAAAGTTCTTCAGGTTACTCCAACTGCAGCATGGTTGACAACCACTGCTTTAGTCCTGAACCGTTCACTACTTCCCTTCCTGAGAACCCCTCCTTAACGAGCTTTCCCAGTCAGAATTCTTCTCTTGACTCTCACAGCACAAAATCTAGACGACAGATTAGTGCTAAAGAAACCCATCTTAACTTTTGATTTGTATAGTACTTGATAGTTTTACAAAGTGCTTACATATATTCTTATTTGAGGTTCATGTCAACTCACTAACAACAGCTGAGCAGGTATTAATTACTATCCCCATTTTAAAGATAAGAACACAGAAGTCCTTAGGTAAGTGACTTGCCCAAGGTTACCTAGCTAATAAGTGACAGAATTATAATAAGAATTCAGGCCTCTTGACCTCAGAATTCTTCACCTCACTGCCTCCTCAGAGTGTTGGTCTTACCTCCCTAATAAAACTGTTGGCTCTGAAAATAAGAAGCTCTACTTTTATACATCCATTTTTAATTCAAACCTAATATTTAAAGCACCTGACTGAGCTAGGTGCTCTAGGGCCTTGCTGCTCCTCAGACCAGCAGCAAGGGCATCACTCGGGAACTTGTTGGGCAATCAGAATCTTGGGTCCTACCCGAGACGAACCAGAATCTGAATTTTAATAAGACCCCAAGCGATTTGTATGCACATTAAAGTTTGAGAAGCACTGCTTTAGGGATAAAAACGAATAAGATGTCCCTATCCTCCAGGAGTCTATTACTTAGTAGGGTCTCCAGACATGTATATAAATAACTTTAGTAGAGTTAGAATGTATCATTACAGGAGTGTGACTCTATGAGATTACAGAGGTGAGGTTACGTTTGACTAGGGTTAAAGACAGGTATCATGGAGGGGGTGGTATTTAAGTGAGTGACATTGAAAGGCTGCAGTAGGATTCAATGGCCCAGGAGAGAGGTTGAAGGGTAGGGTACAGGTGGAGGCAGCAGAGTTGAAGAATTATTTGTGGAACAGAAAGGAGTCACATGTAACTGGAGCACAGGGAACACGTGAGCATAAAAACTGGAAAGGTAAATGGGGCCCTGTGGACATTTGGCCTTGAGTCTATAAGGCAATGGGGGTCAAAAGTTTTGAGCAGAGGAGTGACAGGATGAAATCTGCATTTTTCTCTTTCCTGCTTTATATTCTTTTGTTTTTTCTTTTTTTTTTTTTTTTTTTGCTGAGGAAGATCCACCCTGAGCTAACATCTGTGCCAGTCTTCCTCTATTTTGTATGTGGGCTGCAGCCAAAGCATGGCCACCGATGAGCGGTATAGGTCCATGCCTGGCAACCGAACGCAGGTGGCCAAAGCGAGTGCACCGGACTTAACCACTAGGCCACGGGGCTGGCTCCCTCCTGCTTTGTATTCTAATCCTTCCATGTCTGGAACCACTACCAGCCCAGACATATAAGGATTAAAGAAAAAATCCGGTGTAATCTCAGGCTGTTCTCCATAACCAAGAAGTCTCAAGCAATCAATTCGTTTTAGACAAGACTAGCACAGCAAGCAGGGCGATGGGGTAGAGAAGGAAGCCATCGTAATGGTAAAGTGGGACCTGATCTGAGACACAGGCAGTGGAAATAAAACTCCTATAGAACATAGCTCCATGCTACGCACAAAGTAGGCTTGACAAACACATATACACGCATACAACCACACCCATACAACCATACACACACTACACTTACAGCAAATGAAATGCCTGCTGGCCTTCTCATCCATTTGGGGGGTTTTTTCAAGGGAGGTATCAATGATGCTTGGGCTACTTGCTCTGGCACCTGCAATGGTGGGAGAGGCTGGCCTTTGCTGAAGGAAGAAGAGATCTGGGAGTAAAAGGACATCTGCATCACCAGCCTGAAGTGATGGCTTAGCCAGTAACTGCACCTACAAACTCCCTTTGGGGAGGAATCCTTGAGATACTCAATTTGGCCCACAAAGCCTGGACTCCCATATTTCAGGGGATGGCGATGGGACTGGCAGGGAGGGTAGGACTCTTGGAAAGCATACTGTATCCAAGATCTACAGTAGAGTGTGACACAAAATGGATCTATAGGAGAGAGCAAGGTAAGACAGTTCATACTTCAAAAAATAATGGTCCCAGTACGGAGGTCCAGTGTCCCTGAAATACCACGGGGAACAACCAAGAACAAAATTTAGGACAATATGCATGGATCTTTATGGAATTTTGCTAAGTGAAATAAGTCAGACAGAGAAAGACAAATATCATATAATTTCACTCATATGTGGAAGATAAACCACAGATACAGAGAATAGACTAGTAGTCACTAGAGGGAAGGGGAATGGGGGGAGGGTAAAATGGGTAAAGCGGGTCATTTGTACAGTGACAGATGGAAACGAGACTTTTGGTGGTGAACACAATACAGTATATAAAGAAGTCTAATTATAATGTACACCTGAAATCTATATAACGTTATAAACCAATGGTTACCTCAATGAAAGAAAATGTAAATGAAAACAAGAGGAAAAAAGAGCCCAGGTGAAGGCTTCCTTTGTATTGTGGCAGAAATTGACATCTTCCCAGGAAGAAGGGTTGTCCTCCCAAACCCAGGGCCCTGGTCTCCCAGTCTCCAATAGTCCCCACTTTTTCCCAGGCCATATGTCCTCTCTCCCTCCAAACAGAGACAGCCCCTTCCCTCCAGCATTCTCCATATAGCCCTTCAAACCTTGTCAGCCTGTCTCATCTGCTGGACTTCCCAGCTCCTACCCATCACAGAGTACAAACTGATCCAGCCATCGAAGGAGGCAGCAGAGAACACCGCAGGGTCTCGAGGGCACCACTGCACATCAAAGCACCAGCTGCTCTGTGTGGGTAGCTTATATACCACCTAACACGAGGGAACACAACCATTAGGGAAACTCTGACTTAGGTAAGGCAACCCAGAACACAGAGCTGCAGCAGGGATTCCTCTACCACCTCATCTCCCATCCCAGCAGGCCCACAGAAGGGCCAGCCTACCTCGCTGCTCCCCAGGTTCCAGCATAAGATCTGGTTGTCTTTGGCACTACTGAGCAGCAGCTCAGCATCAGCCTGGCTCCATGACACTGACAAGATCCCCCTAAAAAGGAAAGGAAAGAGGAACTAACATTTGTTGAATGCCTATATAAGGGTGCCTTACATATCCTGGATAAATCTCATCCCCATAAAATAAGCATTCTGATGTCATTTTACAAATGAGGAAAAGGAGGCTTTGAAAAATTAAGTAACTTTTAGCAGTCACAGAGCCAGAATGCAAGTCAAATCCCAGAGTCTGTGCAGTACACCTGTACCACTCTGCCTCCCATAGGTCACTGCAGGGTGGCCTGCTTCTTCTCCCTGATTGTACGGTAGGGACTATGAATCAGTATGAATCAGGCAAACACCTACCCCTTCGGGTGCTTTTATCCCAGGAGGGTAGCGAGGACCTAATTCTCATAAGTCTGCAAGGAGGTATAAAGGCAACGTGGCCCTTTACTTAGAAAGAAGAGACTGTGGGGCTGCTTTCTCTGCTGTGGGCCCAAGAGCTACAGCCTCAGAGGCAGGCCTGTTCAGAGGATAGACAGGAGTCAAGGTTCTTTTATTAAGAAGAAGTCTTGGAGGAAGCAACTTCATCACTTAAAGAAACCATTATCCTCAGATCAGAGCCTGGGGACTCTCCCAGGGGGACTAAACACCGGCTCCAATATTTCTCATGACCCCATCCGCACTCCTATCTCTGGAAGTTACATGGAATCTCAGGCTCTTCTCCATAATCTCTGGGTCTAAAGGATTCCTCTTGGTTGGGGTTGGAGGTTGGACTGGGTGATTGTGTGTTCACTGGGATGGCTTTGAAGCGAGGAGGGACGTTTGGTAGCTAAAGTGAGGCATCATTGCCTCCTACCCTGGTCAGTTATGCGCCCTCTCCCCTCACACACCAAGGATGTGGATGGGGTTTGAGATGATACCTGCTGTGGCTCTCCAGCACCTTCAGGGGCGAGGAGGCAAAACGCAAGTCCCACAGCTGAATCACTGGGAGATGATCATCTTCTGAGCATAGCACCAACTGGGTGGCTATGTCTGGGTGCCAGGCCAGTCCTGAGCAGTGCATCTGTGAACAAAGCAGACCTCAATGGGTGATGTAACCTGACTCTTTTGGTTATGAACTTTTTATGCCCATTGTAATAGGACTACTGTGAGGGTAGATTTTGGGTTTCTTCTATGTGACTGGGAACATCACAGCCATTAAGTAATAAGTGATGATCATGAATAAGTAAGGAGTGCTAGGAAGCCTCCAGATCAGCTCTGTTTAGCTTCCCTAAGCTTTCAGTCTCAATAGGAAATCTGCTAAGGGGCTGAATCCACATGGGCAACAGCTAAAAGCAGAACCCTGGCCAGGGAAAGAGCAGTTCCAATGACTACATACAAGAGAGAAGGCAGAGTCCAAGCCTGTATTCTACTTCCACAACTCACCCTATTGCTGTGATCACTGACTTTAATGATAGGTTCATTCTTCCTGAGATCCCACACAATTGCCTTGCCACTGGGGTGAGCAGAAGACAGAATGTGTTGAACTTGCCGGTTCCAAGAGAGTGCCTTGATGTCTTCTAGGGGCTGCTGAGGCAGGAAGGGGTCAGGGGTGGAGGACAACTTGTCACCCCCAAACCAAGAGACATCTGCTGTTCCACTGCTCCCAACCATCCAGAGAAAGCCCAAGAGTAAACATGGGGCTACCAAACCAAGACAATCCCAGGGAGCAGGGAGTTGAATTTTTCAGAGAGGATGCTTTAGGGTACTGGTGTACAGCAGAGAAAATGGCAGGCACACTTGGGTTTTACTCCTATCCCAAGGTGCTCCTGAGCCAAGATTTAAAAACAGCCCTCTTGTCTATGACAGAGAAGGAGAGAAGGAGGAAGGTGAGGGAGGGAGGGAAACAGACACCCAGGACCCCCAGAGAGAGTGAGGCAGAAAGAAAAGCCATTGCTACTTTTAGGGCACAAGGCATCAAATTCCTACTTAAGTTACCTCATAATACTGTAAGCATAAGATAGAGAAAAGCCAGGAAGCAAAAAGATGGGCCCAGTTAGAGACTGACAGAGAGGTACACTCAGAGACAGAGATACCCAGACCCCCAGCTGCATGGCAGAACCAGATACAGAGACAAGGCTGACCCTCCCCACAGGAAGGACAAGGGTATATCTGGGTGTCCTCTTGCCTCCCTCTGCTGAGCCCAGAGCCCTACCCAACTCTGCCTAAGCTACACTATGATAAAGAGTACTCTCACTCCTCCTCTCAAAGTCTTTTACTCCCCCACCCTTCTTCATTTTCCTTCCAGAAACCCCTAGGATAGTTAATGACCACAAAACAACCACCCCCCTTACCCTTCCCTCCATTCCTGCTATTATCTGGCTGGTAGCATGTTAGTCTGTGGAGCTTTATTGCCCTCCAGTGGTAAAGGCTGAAATCTCCTGTGCTCTAGCTGTCTCCAGAATTCAAGACTTTCCCTGGGAAAATCAGCTGCACACTCTAAGCAGCAGCCCCGGGAGCCTCCTCACCTGTGACTTGGATCCTGGGGTCACTGGCACACTCAGGTTATTCAAATCCCAAATGAAGATTTCAGAATCATTGGCCCCTGAGGCCAGGAGGTTGCCCTGTATGAAGAATAGGCCTTTGGAGACACCATCCCAGGAAGAGATGAGAGCAGGAAAAAGACTCACATTTGGGACTTCTAAAGCCTCTTCCATAACAGCCTGGGGAAGGTTCAGAGTTACCAACTGGAGGTCACAAGTGAACATTTCCATTCAGATCTGTTGCTCCATGGCTTGGCCATGTCTGACCAACTGAAACGTAGTACCTGGAAAGGATTAAAGTCGAGGGCTCTGACAGCACCCGTGTGCTTCTGTCTCTGGGCAATCACAGGCTCCTTCCCCGAAGACAGGATGTGGATCACATTGTATAGAGTAAGCATGCCATTGTCCCCGCCGCCTGCAATAACCCCGGAGCCTTCCAGAAGCCCATTGCCAAAGCTCCCCCAGATCAGCTTGTGGAACCTACAAAGAGGAGGAACTGGCATCAGCACCAACTCAGATCCACGGCAGTAAGCAGAGGGTGGGCATCCTTGTCAGCCTCTGCCATTATGAAGGCATCCCCAACCCTAGCCGGGGCCTGCCTGTCTTCCTCATTTCCCAAACACAGAACAGAGGTCTCTTCTGCCCGGTCTTGCCCCTTCTCTAAATAAATACTCCACCTATATTATACTAGAAGCCAGGAGGCCACTGCCTTGGAGTTGTGTGGGAATGCTTTTTTTAAAGTTAATATTATTGGGGTTATCTAGGCTCAGTGACAAATACTTCAAAGAGATTACTTCACTTAATCCTCACAACTCAAATAACAACAACAACTAACACTTATTGAATACTTACTATATACCAGGCACTGTTTTAAGTGCTCTACATGTATTAGCTGATTTAATGTTCAACACCCCATGAAATATTGTTATTAACTCCATTTTCAATTAAGGAAACTAAGGCACAGAGAAGTTATGAAATGTCTATAGGAAGTGGCAGAGTCAAGGTTCAAAACCAGGCCCACCTTATTTCAGAGCCAGAGCTTCTAACCATCATAAAATACTGTCTTTTGTTTAGAGGAAGATCCAAACTCTTCTGTACCTGACTCAAAGCAGGTTCCTGAGACCAACAAGTGCTATCCTGTCTTCCCTCTCAAGCTGGAAGTGAGAAAAGACCCAAGGATCTCTCCACCCCATGCTTCCCCGACATGGCTGGCTCACTGGAGCTGCTACGTGGCTGCAACAGGCAAGCCCCAGAGACACAGAGGCACGAAGAATAAACACACACTTGGGAAACACTTTTCTGGCTCTCTGAGGATGCTTCCCACAAGACACTGCCAGTGTCTTGCACAAAAGAAAAACGTGGACCCTGGGCCCCCTGCAGACAAGTAAGGGTACTCTGCAAAGCCCCTAGGGAAGGCATGTGAAATCTCCAAAGCCTCTTAGAGGGTCTGTCCTCTATTTCACAGCTAGCCAAGGATATTTCCACAGCCCTTCAGAGAAACTAATTTCACATCGAATGATTTCATAAGATCCCCAATTGAAATGAAATGTTTCCACACCCTGGGAACAGTCAGCAAAGAAACTGAGTGGGGTGACTGGGCAGGAACCTGTTCGGCCAGTCATTAGAGCAGAGCCAACCTGTCAGAAGTTAAGAGCTAAGCACTAGTTCAGAGTAGGTCAACATCTGGACAAAACAGCAAAGTCGACACAAATGATGGCTCTAAAGCTACCGTCAGAAAGGCTATGTTTTCTAAGGTTGCACTGATCTTAAGGTATTCAGAAGAATATGGCAGAAGAATGTGTTCTGCCATATACTGGCTCAAGAGGCTGCCATGTCCTCCAGGAGCTAGAGCTCAGTGTGGGCAGAAGGCAAGTCAACAGAGTAGCTAGAGAAGCCCATAATAGGTCACAGAGGAACCAGAAGAGGGTATGGCCAGTGAAAAACTCACATGGGAATGGTAGAAGAGGCTGCAGTGACCTCAGTGTGGTCAGAACACATGACACATAGACCAGAGTAAAAGGTACCTGAGACCTCAGGGGGGTGTCACCAAAGGGTTAGAGAATAGGGCCCAGTTACTTTAGAGTGACTGAAATGCAGAACACAGAATGTGACAAAATGATTTTCTTTCAGTAAGCACATATAAAGTACATTCCTATTGTTAACTACTTCACTAGTAAGGGTGAAGCTGCAGCCCAAATAGAACATGATAGAGAACACCCGCGACAGTGGAACCACTTGGGATAAGGTAAGCAAGGAAGGGGACTTGACTATTCAGTAGGCTCAAGGAGTGTCAATCATCTCTGCTCTGCAAATAGACAGGGAACAAGAGATAGCCGTGTGTGTGTGTGTGTAGAAAGAGAGTGCACAAGCATGTGAGCAAATGTGACAAACTGTTAACAACTGATGAATCTAAGAGAAGGTATATAATTGTTCTCTGTAACATTCTGCAACTTTTCTATGGTCGAATATTTTTCAAATAAAAAGTTAAAAAACAAAAAAGATGGCCTTTGGCCTGAAAATAGAAACCAAGAGATTCGAGGAGAAAGTATAGGGAGAAGAGTCTGTATAGGAATGTGGGAACTTTCAAAATATGAGAATACAGGTGGAATTCTTTGCTAAAGAGGTTCCCATGATAACGATGGCAATGATGGAGACCATATGGCATCACAGAATGATGGCTGGCACCTAAAGAAAATACCAGTTCTTTGATTCCTACCTAGACCTGGTGAAGCAGAAATTCCAGAGATAGGACCTCAGAGTCTACGTTTTTAACAAGAGCCCCCAGGTGATTCTACCAACGAGCCAGGGTTGAAAACCACTGTACTACAGATACATCAGACTGCATACCAGCCTAGAACAACAGGGGAAGAAGCTGAATTTCATAAAGATAGAATCAGCCCTAACAACCAGCTCATGACTATGTTTTTGGCAAAAAAAGAAAAAAAAAAAAAAAAGACAAGGCTGAAGAGAAGAAACTGAGGCCTCTTAGATCAGAAGGTAGCACCAGATAAGCTCATCTGAGGCCAAGCTTCAGCTACCTTATGATTAGGAATGTGTGCTGTATAAATTCTTGCTTCCATGATTTATGTACTTCATTTTGGATTTTGCTTTTATTTGTTTAGTAAGTTTTCTTTGGAAAAATCCCAACCTCATATTAGTGAACTAAAGTGAAAAAGAGTTTGTCCACATCCAGGCCAAAAGAGCTGAGGGATTCCAAGTTTCCTCAAAGTCAAACAGAGTGGTGAAGGCAGTGCTCCAAGCTGGAGAATGAAGGCAATGGAGTGGAGCGACAGCTGTCCTACAGGAGAATCACTTCTCTGAATGCCTAGTATGAACCAGGCTACTATGTGCCCACTATGGATCCCGAGTGTACAGCGGAGAAAACAGGGTCAGAGAAGTTAAATAACATGCCCAAGAGGAGAGCAGATGGAAGAGCTGGGATTGGAACCCAGGTCTGTCCAATAACAAAGCCCATTCTCTGTCTACTCTGTGATCTTGATGTCTCTAGAGAGAAGGCAAGTCTTGGAAAGAGAAAAACTAAGAGAAGTACACAAAGTGATCTTTTTCTGCTTGGTGTTGTCCCTTACACAGGCACTCAAAGAGAGGTCACGGTGCTCCCCAAGTAGCTAGAACTGAGATAAAGGTACTGAAAGATAGATCACCTACTTTCTCCATGTTACTAGAGGATGGGTCATACCAAGGTTATGGAGATCACTCAGAGATCTAGAACCTCAGTGTAGACAGGATGGAGTGCAGCAAATCACACGTCGACCTCTGACATCAATTTAGCAACAGTAGCTATGTCCTCAGTTCAAAAGTCAAAACATAGACAATGTATTAGGGGCTGGCCCTGTAGCGTAGTGGTTAAGTTTGCACACTCTGCTTCGGTGGCCCAGGGTTCTCAGGTTTGATCCCGGGCGCAGACCTATGCACTGCTCATCAAGCCATGCTGTGGCAGGGTCCCATATATAAAACAGAGGATGATGGGCACAGACGTTAGCTCAGGGCTAATCTTCCTCAGCAAAAAGAGGAAGACTGGCAACAGATGTTAGCTCAGGGCCAATCTTCCTCACAAAAAAACCAAACAACAATGTATTATTCTCCCAGAAACCTTTCTTCTTGAGCGAGATTCATCTAACAAACCAAACATCGCTTGCTTCGGTGCACATGCTAATCCATATTGATTCTGACTACATCCAGTGGCATTTATCCATGCACTCTCTCCAGACTACTTGTAGCTTGAGGCTATCTCTTATCTACACCCACACCAGTGTTTCAGAACAGTTCTCTTTCAGTCAGGTATTTCTTTTATTTTTTTTTTTTTTTTTTTTTTTGTGAGGAGATCAGCCCTGAGCTAACATCCACCAATCCTCCTCTTTTTTTTTTTTTTTGAGGAAGACGGCCCTGGGCTAACATCTGTGCCCATCTTCCTCCACTTTATATGGGACGCCGCCACAGCATGGCTTGCCAAGCAGTGCGTCGGTGCGCGCCCGGGATCCGAACCAGCGAACCCTGGGCCGCCGCAGCGGAGTGCGCGCACCTAACCACTTGCGCCACCAGGCCGGCCCCAGTCAGGTATTTCTAAATAGATATTTCTTTGTTGCATCATGGATTGAGGATAAGAGGATATTCAGGATTCAAATATAGTTGAGGCACCGGTCTGGTGAAAAGGGCAGGCAGAGGAAGGGGGAAGATTTTGCAAAGTATACGTTTAGTTAATAATGAAGAGACACAGGGAGGGGTTAAAAAAAAGGAAAAAAGATGGAGACTAAGCTAGAAAAAAAAAGGGAAGGAAAAACTGAACATAAGACCGGAATTTGGAGCTCAGTAGGATCTTAGAAGTCATCTTGTACAACCTCTTTATACATAAGTGAGGAAACCTAAGACCACTGATGGAACTCAGTTTGCTCAAAGTCACATAGCTTTAGCCAAGGCTACAACCCAACACAACTGTGCTTTCCACTAAACCATGCAGAAGATGACAAAAAGAAAAGAAAAGAAAGAGGGAAGCATAAAGCAAAGGATGGGTAGCCCTCTATCAACCCTGATCATCTTGGTCAACAGTCTGTGGTACTGACTTTTGAGTAAGTGACCTAACCCAGGCTGGAACAGAAAGAAGTGGGTGTCTTAGACCCCAGTGTGTCTAAGATGATTTCTTCAGAAAGGCCCCAACACGACCGTGTCAGAGGTAATCCCTTAAGTTTTTGGGAATGAGAATCAATCTTTGGACATGATTACAGAGGTGGAAAAAGACAGCAGGGATGTAATACTATCAATAGGGTTAGCTGTACTATTTATTTTGGTTATAGCCCCCAAATCCCTGCAGGGTGGAGCAGGGTATGAAGGGAAGTTCATAACTCCTGAATTCAGTACCAACATTTCAAAAAGGGTCCCTTCAACCTAGTTGGTTGCACAACAAACAGATCATCACCCCTGAAAAGCTCTTAAGGCACTAAGACTAACTGAAGACTAATTATAACTAACCGAAGTGGTGGATAATAATGCTCAGTTTGTTACCCCATAAGTTTCTAATATCACTCATCCATTCAACAAATATTTATTAAACACCTAATGCCAGGCACTGTTTTAGGTGCTAGAGATACAGCAGTGAATAAAAGAGACAAAAATCTCTGCCCACAAGGATCTTAGGATTCAGTCTCAAGATTTCTCAAGCAATTATATTGCCTCTTTCTTAGGAACTAAGGAGCCACTACTGTGCTGAAGCTGCTGCTTGGCTGGTCATAAAAGCCTTGGCCACTTCTCTTATCTCCAGCAGCATAAACATTATTGAATTAGCTCACCCCTTTCAGGAGCCCTTGCTGAAATGCTTGTTTAAAGGCTAAGAATATCCCATCACTATTGGTAAACCCTCCAGTGCCTGCTCTTCAAAAGGTACAGGTACTGGAAATGGAAATAGATGTAAAAAACCGCAAAATAAGGGATACTGTCATAAACTGATATAGGGGCTCAAGAAAGGGAGAACAATAACTAACCTTTCATTATTAGGTTAAACCATGAAAAGAAAGAGGAGAGTAGTTCTGTCTAAACATCTTAACTAGTCTCTCAGATGCACCAAAAAATGCACAAGAGGATGGAAAGTTGTATTCTAGACCAGTAATCTCTAAAATGAGATGGGCAAGATAATTCTCTGGTCTGTAAGAAAAAGATTTACCTTTTTAATCTAAAACATGATAGAAATTGCACTTTGTAATAATACAGTAATACATGTATATTATTTATATTGAATATATAATGACTACAGTAAATATTCATTTTTCCTGATGGCGCAAATTTGAAGAGCATTGCTTCAGACTGTAAGCCTTATCTTTACAAAACCTATAAAAGAGCAGTTGAATAATGGAAAGAAGGTAGGCTTTGGAGTCAAACAGGCCTAGACTTAAACCATAGCTTCTCAGAGTTTTGGTTCCCTCCTATGTAAAATGGGAGCAATGGTATTTATTGCTTAGGCTCATTCCGAGGAATAAATAAAATATACATAGCCCCTAGTATAGTGGCTGGCATGTATACATGTGCACATTAAATGCTAGTACCCAGTCCTATAAGCCTGCCAGAGCCGTGAAATCTATGAGCACCCAGTCAGTTCCTAATAGCCATGAGGAGAGAATCATTCGTTTTCCTCCTGCTGGCAGAAAAGGAAGATGTTGTGCAAGGTTGTTTTCCTCACAAGAGCCAAGGGAGGAAAGAGCCAACACCTCTAGGTTCAGATAGACACCAGGTACCTGTGGGTCGAAGCTTCTATCACATGATTCTGCCTGACACTGCTGCTGCTGCTGCTGACAAGAAAGGTGGGAGTGGGTGTTTTTAAAATCCTCTTGCAAAATAAACCCAGAGTTAACTTTTCTCCAACTTGCTGAAGGTCTTTCTCCTCTCACTTGTCTCCTCATGAGCCCTGAGAAGCACACACTACTTACTCCGGGGATTCCCCCTCAGGGTCTACATCAGGATCTGCCCTGCATACCCATCAACAGTTCAGACACAGTACCTGCTTGAGGCAGAAAGGACTCCCTTGTGTTTCAAGTCCAAAGAAGGGTCCCTGAAATCAACCTCAAAGATGTCCAACGTGCCATTTGTGCTAAACGAGGCATCTAGCTGCTGGGCGGATGTTTCTAGGCACAAGAAAAGTCAGGAAGAGGCAGCATATGAGCAATGATATATGCATGGATTTGGGGTATAAATGGTTAGGGAGGGGAGAAGAGGAGGAACAGGAGTGGACTAGATATACCGTTTTTCAAATGGTTAACTCCAAAGAAAAGCATGAGGTGCCTAGCCTTGAGCCATAGTTCAAGGCTTCCCCAGGTACCAAAAACACTTAATATCTGTTTGTTTATGCTATCCCCACCTTTCCATGACTCTAAAGCTTTCTCTGAAGCTCAATAAAGAATTCCTGATAGTATTAAGTTTCCCCTCGACCTATGTACTTCCAGTGGCTCCTAGTCCACATGTGGATCCTATCACCATACCTGTGGCCAGATACACAGGGTACTGGCTGGCTGGGCTCCACACTTGGACAGCTGGCCGCTCAAGTTCCTTCAGCTTCATGGTCTGTCCTGTAGGTGGCAGAAAACTGACATGGCCCTCAGCCCACTGAAAATAGAAACCAGCAAGCTTAAGGGCCAGATCCAGGGAGCATCTGTGGACAGGAGATCTTGTTTCTCTCTCTCCACCATGGGATGGGGTATTTTAGGGCAACATAGGGTGACAAATATATGACCATCTGCAGATCTGTAATGACAGTTCATTTACCCAATTACTAAAACCTAATGCTTTAAATTTTAAAAGATATTCAACTACACTGGTTGCCAAAGGCCCAATGGTGGTGGTAACCATCAAACCAGACAATCTCTCAGTGACTTTATCTATTCCCTTGGCTTTAAATATCATCCATATCCTGAAGACTCCCAGACTTATATCATGAACACAAATCTCTCCTCTGAGCTCCAAGTTCTTATATACAACTGCTAATCAAATATTTTCACTTGGATATAGAAAAGATACCTAAAAGTTAGTCTGTCTAAAATGGGGAATTCTCTATTCTACCATCTCCTCCTCCCAAATCTGTTCTTCCTCCAGTTTTCTTCATCTCAGTAAATGGTACCACTATCCACCCAACTGCTCAACCCAGAAACCTGAAAATCACCCTGGATTCCCCCTTCTCCCTTATTCCCATCTAATCCATCATTAAGTCTTCCAGATTTTACCTTGAAAATATATATTAATCTGTCTACTTTTCTCCATTTCCACCATCACCACTCTATTTGAAGGTATCATCATCTCTCATCTGGATTACTGCAATTATCTTCTTTGGTCATCTCCCTGCTACTCATACCATCACCCAACTCATTCTCTACATAGCAGCAGGAGGGAGCTTTTAAAATCAAAAATAGGATTTTAGCATTCCATGCTTAAAATCCTTCAATGGCTTCTATCACACTCAGAATAAAATTCAAACGCCTTATTATGGCCCTGCTCAAAAGCTCCAGCCTACTGCTTCAAACTCATCTCTCACTACTTCCCCCTTACTCATTGTGCCCCAGCCACATTAGCCTTGTTTTCATTCCCTGACTTTTTCCCACCTTAGAGGTTTTGTAAATTCTGTTTCTTACACTTAGAACGCTCTTCCTTTCATTCTCTGCATGACTGGCTCCTTATCACATCTTTCTGGGCTCAGCTTCTCACCTCCTCAGAGAGATAAGACACCCAATCAAAAACAGCTTCCATTTTTTCCTTCTTAGCAATTACACATTTATTTACACTTACATTGTTGGTCTCCTCCACTAATAAATAAACTCCACAAGAGCTTGAACTGTGCCTGCTTTGTTCACCATGTTGTAACTAGTGCCAGAACAATGTCTGGCACATAGTAAGTGCTTGATACTATTTATTAAACAAATGCAGACATCCATTTTTACTCTGGTCTCCAGTTCAATTCTAATGCATATTCAAGATGCCATCCCAACAGGTTAGCAAAGTGGAAGAAAAGTTAAAAAAAAAAATTTAACACTGAACTTTGAGGGAGGAAGCTTGGGACCTGCTTGAGCAAGCGACAGTCAGGTCAGTTTCAACCTACAAAAACAGGAGGTAGTATTACTTAATTTCTAATGTACTTTCCAGTTTAAAGAAAGTTTAAGGCTGCCAATTCAGCCAAGATTTCTAGCGGGCCTCTAAACGCTTGAGGCTACATCAACGTATCTTCTGACAGGCTGCAATATCATACTACATAGCCACCAGTGCCACCTGCTGGTCAAAGCCATTTTCACGTTTCTGGGGAAAGATCCCTTAACAACAAAAGCAGGAGCTGCGATTAGCACTCGATTAGCACATTTGACGTGCACATCTCATTTAACTCTCACAACGGTTTTATGCAGTAAGTACTATTATCATCCCCATTTTACAGGTTAGGCCGAGATGTGAACCCCAGTCGGCCTCCAGAGCCCAGTGCTTTTAACCATTATACTAGTCTAAACCAAACTAAACTCCATAAAGTGTTTAAACCCCTGACAGTCTAGAAATTGGGAAGATAGGCTTTTAATCTGCTTTGTTAAGAGACATCTGTTCACAAAAGGCCCCTGCTGGGGTCACAATGGCGGGGGGTGGGGGGCGTTGAAGGTGGGAGAGCTATGACCATTCAACGAAGAGCTGAACAAGCTCTTGCAGGGAGGGAGGCAGCCAGCTACCCTTGGCAGCCCAGTCCCTAGGGAGGGTGGTGAGCACAGCTTCTCTCCGGCCTTCCCCGAAGCAAGGAGCGCGGGGGTCAGTAACGACAAGCCTTCCCGCCCCCGCAGGTGGCAGAGACTCGGCGCGGGCCCCGGGTCGGGCCAGCTCAGGGCCCAGTGCGGATGGGACGGCGCGAGGGCAGCGCCGAGGAGACAGCCTTGTCGGGCTGAGGGGCTCGAGCGCGGCAGGGAGAGCCGAGCCGCGTCCAATCTGAGGGCGGGCGGAGTGGGGCCCGAGGGACACACTGGCGGGAGGTAAGGGGCGGGGCACGGGCGGGCCAGGGTCTCCGCGGAGGGCGCATTCCCCCTGGCGCTCTCGGTCCCCAGCACGGTCTCGGCTCTCAGCGGCCCCAGTCCTGGAAAACCAACCTGCGCGGAGAGCCCAGGTCAGGGGTCAAATGCGGCGGCGCCCGAGCCAGTCCTCCTCGAAGGGCTTTTGCGCTCAGCTGGGCACTGCGGACGGCGGCTGCGAAGGGCCAAAAGAGCAGGACACCGCTGTCCACAAGTGCCGCGAAGCCCAGGCGGAGGACCTGGCTGACCCACGGAGGATATAATAGGATTATACGGAGTTTTTAATCGGGCCTTTCTCACCTGTCCTGTGATTGCGCACTCATGGCGCAGTGGGTCAGATCCTGCGACCATTAAGTTCTGGTCTATTAAATCTGAGCCAGGCTCCAGGGGCAGCCTCTGAAAAGGGAAAATACTAATTCATCACCTACTCATTGGAGACGACCTGGCCCTAGCATCAGGAGCAATCAGTGGAATCCTACTTGAAAAAGTAAAAAGCAATCGAGGCCATAATTAGCCGTGAGCGATGCACTGCAGCCCAGCAACAACTGGTGCCCAGAACTGTCAGCTAAACTAACAAAGGGCTATAGGTGTGTGGAGGGCGAGGTACTGTAGACCAGGGGCTTCCTGGAAGGTTTCAGGGACATGCAACAGGTGTTATATCTTGGAGCTGCAAGAAGATAGGTGATGCTCCAGTGAGGAAAAAGAGGTTCAACTGGCTAATAGGTGCCCTGACATTTCCCATGCCATGAAGAGGCCATGGCTGGGGGAGTGAGCTGGATACAGATTGTGGAATACCAATTCAACTGCAGATAATTGGGAGTTACTGAAAATTGTGGGTAGGGATGCAATAAGATAAAGATTGTTGTATTTTGAGACTAGCAACGTGGGTCCCCTTGGAGAAAGAACAGAGCTGGAGGCAGGACTCAAATTAGACTAATAGAACAATCAGGTACCAGGTGATGAAAGCCCGGATTAAAATAGTGGCAATGATTGTAAAGGAAAACCGGACAGGCTCTTGTGACTGATAAACGTAAGGACTTGGAGGGGGAGGTAAAAAGATCATTGTATTTTTTATGTTAAGGGAATTAACAGCATTTCTAAATAAGTGTTCTGTAGGCAGCTGAAGTTATTAGACCTAAGTTATTTGATTCAAAACTTTCACTTAATGCATGAATTCTATGGTATTCCTGCCTGATATACCTTCAAAGATGGTGAGCCAGTTATGACAGGGTCCCCAAGTCATTGTGACACAACTCCAGATTTCCTTTTCCTGTGGACTTGGGAGTTTTGAAGTCAGGACAGAAGACAATTTAGGGCACTGTCTGTGCCTGCCCACTCTTTCGACATACTAAGTACTCACTAAATATTTCTTGAACTTCTTAGCATCCACAACAGTGGTTGAGACCTGAGGGGAAGTAAACAGTGTTGAATACTGAACCTCAGGCAACACCTCAAATTAGGGAATGAGGCAGAAGTGTCACAGATGGAGTGCTATGAAAGACATTTGAACCAAATGCATAAGGTCCCAGTTTCAAGCTGGACATGATTTAAAAAAATAAAAAGTGCACTCTTCTCTCAACTAACACATCTCTTAGAAATTCTTTTTTTTTGTTGAGGAAGATTAGCCCTGAGCTAACATCTGCTGCCAATCCTCCTTTTGCTGAGGAAGATTGGCCCTGGACTAACATCCGTGACCATCTTCCTCTACTTTATATGTGGGATGCCTGTCACAGCACGGCTTGATAAGCGGTGCCTAGGTCCACACCCAGGATCCGAACCTGTGAACTCCGGACCACCGCAGTGGAGTGCATGAACTTAACCACTACGCCACCAGGCTGGCCCCTCTTAGAAATTCTTTTCACCTTGTTTTGTAACTGCCAGTCTCCTCTTCTGGGTAACTACTAGAAGGCAATTATTTTGTCGTGTTCAGTTTTATATTCCCACGGCCTATCAGTGTCTGATACATATTAGGCACACAGGTGTTTGTTAAATAAATTATCAAGTGCCTTGGAAGGCAGAGAATGCAGGCAGTGGAGACCTCCAAGGAGTGGCATTTTAGAAGTACCCACTCCTCTTAAAAGTCTCTTTCACTACCTAGACAACCACTAAAGGACCTGTATCTAACTTGAACAGAATTGCTTCTATAGGTCAGGTTGACTATATGCTTTTTTATGGGACAGGTTTTCAGGCAATGACTGTAATTTAAGAAAATGTCCCCAAAGGGACGAAAAGAAAATGAGTTGGTTCACTTAAAAACAGATACACTGAGGGGCCGGCCAGTAGTTCGCATGCTCCGCTTCAGTGGCCTGGAGTTCGCAGGTTCAGATCCCGGGCGCGGACTTACACACTGCTTATCAAGCCGCGCTGTGGCAGTGTCCCACATATAAAGTAGACAAAAATAGGCACAGATGTTAGTCCAGGGCCAGTCTTCCTCAGCAAAAAGAGGAGGACTGGCAACAGATGTTAGCTCGGGACTAATCTTTCTCTCCAAAAAAAAAAAAAACCGACAGATACACTGAGATGGACCCTCAAAAACATGATTTTCCGCTTTCAAAGGCTATCATAGGTGCTTGGATAAATCATTAAGTTAACAAAAGCCATGCATAGGTTCTGAATAACTCATTGAACTGTCCTCTAATTCATAAATGTATG